ATCGTCAAGGGGACTCAAAAAAGACTCATCAAGACGATTTCTGTTAAAACAGTCTGCCAAATGCTTGCTGGGCAGACAACACATAGACCGGACACGTAGGGTAAAGCGTTTTGCACTCTTATTTTCGAGCACTCTTATTTTGCTCGGCTCCTCAATTTTTAGGCTTGTGCTACGAAAATGCTGAAGGGGACGTCAATTGGGTGACAATTCCGCCTGCGGCCTAATTACCGCTATTAAAGGGCAAGTGAAAGGAGGAGAGATAGGGAAAGATGGGCCATATATGTATGTATACCGCGTAAGTGGAGCGCGTTCCAAGCATGGAGCGGATGTTGCCCTGCTTCCATTTGTTTCTCTCCGGACTCTGTGCATCATCTGATAATGCGGGCCTCACATTTGCGCTCAATTGACTTTGAGCGTTGAGTCATCCATCGCTGATTGTTGAGAGTCGAAGCATTTCAATTTTTGATTATTTATTTAGAGTATGATATATATTAAGTACTCTTCTATCCCTAAACACATACATACATGCATATGTATGTATGTACAGACATATGCACTCCAGTTTGGAACTCAGCAGATATACCATATACATATATATTACATATATTATATATAGAATATCTAATATTCTGTATAACCTCTAAAACGGCTGCATTATGGGCTATATTATGATAACTTAGTTCTCGAATCCCCTTGTAGAGAGTGGGTCTATCTGTATCTACGTTTGTGGCAGAAAGGATTCTGGAAGTCTCACAGTCAAGTCTCGAGTCTCGCTCACTTGTTTTTTTTTTACTGTTGTCAACCTGCGACAGGCTTTTGAAGTTGTTTTTTTTCTTTTTCGCTTTACTTAACGCTCCATTTGTGCGCTCGCTCGGTTGGATCTGACTCTGGGCTGTAACTCGCGTGTGGAGCTAGGCCCCGACCCTAAATGCAACGTTGACCACGACCGAGACCCCCAGTTGCCCAACAACTCGGGTAACGGTAACAATAGCTATTGGAAAACGTGTTTCCCACAGGTAGCATGCACACACACATGCACACACACGCACACACACGCACACACACGCTTGGTTGGAGGCTTTTGTTGTTGTATAGGTATCTGGCTTTTGGAGCACAACACATACGCACACACACATGCCTATGGGAATACACATGTGCATGCATACATACATACATACATACATACATACATATGTATGTGTGTACCTTCATTTTATTCATTTTGTTTGGAAAATTTGATTGTTTTTATTTGCTTTTAATGCGAATGGCCTTACTCTCTCGCTCTCGCCTCTCTCGCTCTCACTCTACCTATTTTTGAGTGCTCCACTGACAGCCGCTGCCACCCTCCCTCGTGCATCCGTTATGCCTAAGCACACACACACACGCATTGGACTGGAGTGGCTGCTAAGTGCATAAATTCAAACAAATACATACATACATACAATAATGCTTACATGCATACAGCATCAAAATGTATGTATGTATGTACACATTTATGAAATTACTTATGTACATATGCATATGTACATACATACATATATTGTACATACATACATACATATATTTGTATGTTTATATCTGAGTATATACGATCGAGCCCCGATAATTCGCAATGGCAACGGGATCACTTCTTCGATTTACAGAGACAGGGGACAGTATGAGTGGAATATACACACGTTCATGATTACGTTCTGAAAGTTTCATTTAGATTATTAGTAGTCAATATATAAGATATGTATGTAAGTGCACCCATGGCCTGTTCGAACACGTTCGCCTTTCGCTACACTCACACATGCACGCACAAACACGCACGTACAGGCACACATGCACAGTTAGCCACCTGCTGTGAGAGTGCGCCGTTACGTGCTCTTTCCGCTTCGTCCGGCCGGGCTACAGTTAACGCTGACGTGATCTTATCCTGCGATTGAGCAAATGAGAAAGAGCAACTAAAAAGAGCAAGAAATAGTGAATATGTACATACATATGTGTGTATGTATGTGTGTACGTGTGTATGTAACACGTGTGCGCACAGATGATGCGGGCGGCCTTTGATAAGGTTGTGATCTGATTGGATATTAGTCCAATGAGTCCAATTGGCAAGAGATAAGAGCAATCGGCTAACATGAAATTTTGCAAAAATTGGGGGATACCATTTGTTTCTAATCGATTTTGATGTCATGTAATGTTAGGAGGCCAGTTTATTCGAGGGGTTGGTTACTTACGTAGATTACGCAGAGATAAGCGTGCAAGTGTATGTACATATGTACATAGTATATCTATGTATATGCATGTATGTTTCCATATACATACATATGTACATATATTCATACTTACATACAAAAAACCAAAGCAACGCCAAACTTGTAGTTTTTTTCGGTTTATGTACATGCATACATATAATTTTTGTTAGTTACACCAAATCTACTACTACTATTGTAAGTCTGAGGAGAAGCAATGTGCTTCGAAGCAAACCCGTATAGAGTTCCCTATAAAGCTTAATTGATTTGAACATATGTATGTACATTACGTTAAATAAAAACCCTTGATAATTCAAAGTTTGATTTATTTTCTCTTAAAATTTCGAACCATTTAATATTGCAAACATTCGATAATTCGAAATATTTTAAGAGAATCAACAATGCTCATATTGAATTGAGGTGTACCGATGCCAAATCAGAAATTGTATGAGTAAGTGAGTGCGCTCGTATATGACTCAGAGACACAATATTCTATTGATCGAGAAAGAGTCGAATAAATATGCCTCACCGAGTATATGACGCCAATATGCTTCGGAAAAAGGTTGTATTCCTCTCTAGGTCTTATTTATTCTTACTCATTGTACTGAAGGCAGAGGGTTATGAGTCATAGAGCCCATGCACACTCCAGCTCACTCAACCATATTCTGCCTCGCACTCACTCACTCAGTCTCATCCCAAATGGACTCTATTTTGCTAGGTTATGAGTGCGGCCAATCTACAATTGAGGATTTTCACTTTTTTAATTTTAATTCATATTTCATGTTTTATGGGCGTCTGAAGTTGAAAAATAAACAAGTAAGAAGTCTCTAGTCGAGACTGCTCGACTAGGAGATACCCTGAACTCTCCAAGCTGATATTCTTATCATTCTGCACACATACATATGTATGTATGTATGTATGTGCACACACATGGACGTACAATCTTAATGAAATTTTCAGAACGTAATCATAAAGTTCAAATGTGAAGCACAAATCTCTAGTACCTGAAATTAAATTTTTACAAATGGGCGGCGAAGGGGGTGTGGTATCCGAAATCTGTAAATTACAAAATCTGTAAATTATCAAATGTTTTTATATTATATGTATGTATATAAACAGTAAATCTGAAGTCTCCACGTCTAATAGTATTCCAATGAGGCTAAAAAAATAAACACAAAATTTTCGATTATTCTCGATAAAAAGTTATCGGATGATTTAATGAAAAAATAAGTGAAACTTGTACTGCGCATGGTATATACGAGAATGCATGCCAGCTCATATAACTTAAATCTAGGCTTTAATACGGACGGACGGACAGATAGACAGAGGGACAGACGGACAGGGTTATATCGACTCAGCTCGTCGCTCTGATCAAGAATATATGTACATATGTATATACATACTTTATGGGGTCTGCGGGTCTGATGATTCCTTCTGCCCGTTCCATACTTTTTCACAAAAACATTATGCCTCGATTTCTCATTTCAATGGGTTCAGGGCATAAAAAAAACCGAATATTAATGTTACTCACTGTACATATGTACATGCATACATACATATGTATGTATGTATGTACAACTGAAGCAGAAAGTGAGAAGTTATCGAACTGTTGCAATAATACCAGGCAGACGTTGAAGAACTTTGCGCTTTGCCTCATATGTAAATATGTATATGCATACATATGACTACATATGTGTGTATGTATGTATGTATGTTTGTGTGCATGTTCAATAATTGCGTTCTTGTGGTCTCTTTGCTTGCAGCTCGCAGTCGAATGAGCGACAATTCTTGAAGGACTTTATCAGCGGTGCGCCCGGCTCGTCGGGCGCCCGTCTGGCCGCTTGGCTGCAGCCGGAGTCGCGTCTGGATCCCAATAAGTAAGTTGCAATCGATGCGGCGAGAGGGACGAGGACTAGTGGACTAATGCTGAGCATCCAATTCCAATTCCATTTCGATCCCTTGCAGATGTGAACTGAATACAATTACGGAGCCGTTGCGCTACGGCTGGCCCACTCAGGTGACGGTGACGATACGGGATCAGTACGGCGATGCCGTCCTTGTGCCGGAGCTCAAGGTGGAGATCAAGGCCATTCCCACCGGACCGGATCGCAGTGGCGGAGGCAATCTGAAGATGCGCCGCACCTCGTATGCGGACGAGGGCACGACTGTGGGCCAGGGCGTGGGCGCCCAGTTGGGCGGAATGGCGCCGCCGCCACGGCTGAACTATGAAGCCACTACCAAGGAAAAGATGTGCTTCAAGGCGATCACCTTTATGAAGCCCTACACGAACTACTCCTTCGAGGAGCTGCGCTTCAGCAGCCCAGTGCAGACGCGAACGACGGAGGTTCTCTCTGCCCAGGACATGGAGGACGGCACCTTCAGCGTCCACTGGACGCCCAACTCGGTGGGCGGCTATTGTCTGGCTGTCACCATCGATGGCATACCGCTCGAGGAGGTGTATAGGGTTGAGGTAAAGGAGGGCGTGCTGCCTCCTCCCGCACAGCGGAGCAGCGCCACACGCCGTCCGCAGGCGCCAAGCAAACTGCGACGATTTCAGGCGAGGCACAGCGCTGGATTGCGCATACGCTCCCATCCCACGCTGCAGTCGGAGCAGGTGGGCGTGGTGCGTTTGGGTGGCATCATATCCTTCATAGATGAGATCGAAAACGATGACGGCATCTGGCTGCGTCTGTCCACGGAGTCCATACGGCAGCACTGCACCATGGGCTGGTATCCGACGGAGGCATGGTGCCTGCAATACAATCAACATCTGACCCGTACGCTGCTGCAGCCGGTCAACGAGGCCAAGGCCAGGTCAAAGGCGACAGCTGGCGGGGACATGACCGAGTCGGAGCAGCAGCAGCAGCAGCAGCAGCAACAGCAGCCCCTGCCCAGTAGTCCCAGCGGCAGCACGGCCGGCGATAGCCCCAGCAGTCCGGCCGACACCAAATCTCCCACGGAGCGTAAAATTTTTGAGCTGCCCGCAGCCACAGCTGCGGCTGCTTCGTCCTCGACCGCATCCTCGACCAATCCCTTTCTGCTGCCCGCCGCCAAAGGAGCTGGCACCGATGCGCTCCTCCCCACGGATGCGGACAATATGCTGACTGCCAGCACGGAGCTGCTGCCCGGCAATCTGGGCTCGGCCATAGCGGGCGTCGTGGGCGGCGGAGCTATCAAATTGCAGGCGCTGCAAAAATGGTTCAAAGGCGATGCCATCGAGTCGCAGTCGCAGTCGCAGTCGCAGTCGCAGTCGCAGTCGCAGACAGCGATGCCGCCTTTGGCTGGCGTGTCTGTGCGGGAGCTGGTGCGCGCGATGGGCGGGCAGGAGCAGTCGCCGAGCCACGCCCATGCGGCGCGGGGCAATGGCAACAGCCAGGAGAGCATTAGCTCCGCCGCTGGCGAGCCCCTGGACTTTGACATAGCCAGCGTACGGCGTGTTAACTATACGGCCAGCCAAACCGCAGCGCTGCTGTCCACGCCCAAGCACACGCCCAGACGGACGGCAGCTGCCGCCGCCGCTGCGGTCGCCCTGGCCAGCGAGTCGGCACAGCTGGACGAGGAGGAGCTCAGCTTGCTGCAGATAACCACAACGACAACGCCAACGCCAACGACAACGCCAGCGGCAACGGCAGCGGCAACGGCATCCGGGACGAGTGGAGCCACAGATGCAGCTGGGTCCAGTGAGCAGCCGAGCGAGCTGCAGATCGGCCTCAGCCTGAGCAACAATAGCCCCGCAGCCGGCGGCAGCAGCAGCTGCTCCAAGCGCGGCCAGGCGATGGGGCCGATCAAGCGCGCGATGCCGCCCTCCTTTGCGGAGAGCATCCGAGCGGTATTTGCGGCTCTGCTCTGGCACGAAGGCGTCGTTCACGATGCGATGGCCTGTGCCAGCTTCCTCAAGTTTCATCCGGGCCTGCCGAAAGAGGGCGCCACTGTGGTGACGCGGCGCGATACCGGGGATCCGCGACTGCAGCTGTCGCGCGAGCAGAAGGCGCAGCAGCGCCATTCCGTTGAGGTAGCGAATGCGGGACACTACCTGAACATACGCCCCTCGACGCTGGAGACGCTCGCCAAGAGCGGCAACTGCTCGCTCCACAATCGGAGCAAGCATCGCAAGAATATTTTGGCTGGAGAAGATCCGCAGCAGCAGCAGCAGCAGCAGCAGCCGAAGGAAAAGCTGCACGCTCTGCCGGAGCTGGTGAGCGTGTTGCCCCCCGCTCTGCGGTGTTTGGTCTACCTCTGGGAGCAAATCTGCTCCGGCTGCGTTCACATTGTCCAGTCGAATGCGCTCGAGCAGCGCGAGCCGCGCCTCCTGTCGCCCAGCGGGCGCGATGCCAATGGCGACTCCGATGCCAAAGAGGGCGGCAAGGGCAGCGATGAGCCGGGCGCCGATAAGGATGCGGCCAAGAAGTGCAAGCGGAAGAAGAAGGACGACGGCAGCTGGTGCGAGATCTGCGAACTCTTTCTGCCCATGCCCGTCACATACCACATGCGCATCGCCCATCCCGGCTGCGGGAAGTCCGCCAAGGGCAAGGGCTACAACTCGGTGGGCATTTTCTGCGAGGGCTGGGCCGGCAATTGCGGCGAGGGCGGCAAAGGCGCCTCCAGCTGGTTCCTCATGTGCGACGCCTGCCGCGACAAATACCTGGCCAGCACCCGCACCGCCAGCAACATCAACAGCGCCGCCCAGCACGCCTCCAATGCAGGTGAGCAACGCAGGACACCAAATCTCTGGGGGCTGCCCATTGAAATTTATCCAAATTCCAGATGTAAACACACATCACACGTATACATATGCATGTACAGTCGACTCTCGTTATTTCAAGCCGGCGATAGTTCGAATCTCTCATTGATTCACAGCTCCCTTACACAGAGTCCTTTACAGGATCTCTTTATTATTTCAAGTATTCGATAATGCGTAATACCTTAAGAGTCCCTTGAGCTTCGAAATAACCAGATGAGGATGTATATGTATGTGCATATATGTATGCATACAACATATGTGTATGTATATGTATGTCAACTCCCGTTAAGGGCGTGGCATCTGCCCCAATTTCAGAGTTATATATAGATATATATATATACAAATATATTGGGTAGTCGAAAAAGTCTTTTCGTATTTTCAATGAAACTTCAGATCATATTTTTTAATATTTATAAGGAACTTTATTAAATCAAATATGCACCATTTTGGTCGATTACCTTTACATACCCATTTTTCCACTGAAGACATAATTCCATTCGTATAAGACCTTGTGGTCTCTTCTTATCTCATTTTTGAATAGCTGTAACTTTGTTTTCAAATTCTTTAAATTAATTGGTATTTAACGAACCACCATATCTACTATATATATAAACAATGCTATTGATAGCACTGGAGATAGAGGACTCCAACGACGGCAATATACGAAAATAGTTTTTCGACTACCCATATATTAGAGATTATAGCTGACGAGTATCGTGGACCTTTGCAAGAAGCTTGTCCGTACTGGGTGGCTCATTGTTTGAGGAGCGTTTTCTACTGTCCTTCTGACCTTTTCGGGTTCTTCCCTCTTTTCTTTTCTTTTGCCCCAACACAGGTGCTGAAATGAATCTGTTTGGCGTGAAGACAACTACGTTGATAGCCAACTCGGAGGTGTACACGACTATGCGAGAGAATGCAACATTTTTACTGGAGCTCTGCTCCTCCTCCTCGGCATCGGCATCGTCATCGTCGACTGTACTGGGAGGCAGCCAGAAGCGTTCGCCACAGCAGCAGCAACAGTCGCAGCAATCGATGCCCGTGGTGGTAGAGCATCAGCATCTGGGCATGTCCGATCTCAATCTGAGCAGCAAGCCGAGCACCAGCCGAGCGGACTCGGCGCGCAACAGTCGCATTGGCCGGCTAAGCGGCAAGTTTACGCCGTTTCGCAAGTCATTTGTGGGCGTGGCGCCGGCAACGCCAGACAACGTTTGGCCCGCACCGGAGAGCTTCGCCTGCCTGGAGTGCCTGGGCACGGGTCTGCACGAGGATCTGCCCTACGAGATGTTTGGCCTGGGCGGCAATGCCAATGAGAATGGCTACGATCGGGTGAGTTTACTAACCTACAATCAAAAGAGATCTCGATTCGAGCAGATCTGAGCTCTTATCCAGTAGAGACTGCAGCTGGGGGCGATAATATTATGTTATTGTTGTTTCATTTGGTCAGCCCTTGTCGGAGATTTCGTACGAGTCGTGTGAGCCAAACAACTATGAACTAATGTCCGGATCTATGGCCAATCCACCGGCCACTGGCGGCACGCTATCCAAGTTCCATCGCAGCTACTCCATGGGTCAGGGCTGGGCAGCTGTGGCCCAGCAGCAGCAGCAGCAGCAGCAACAACAACAGCAGCAGCAGCAGCAACAACAGCAGCAGCAACAGCAGCAACAGTTGCAGCTGCAGCATCTGCAGCCATCGGTGGTGGCACTGCCGCTGGACACACAGCCCAAGGTGGTCTACCGGAGGCGCAACAACTCGACGAGCGAGGGCGATGGCTCGCTGCTCATCTGCTATCCGTCGGAGCATCTGCGTCGGCTGGTGCCGCCCAAGCTGCTGGCCAGCGTGGCCGTGCTGCAGGCGCCCAATGCCAACGAGCCAAAGCCAGCCAGCGACGAGGCGGCCAAGGAGGCGGCCCCAGGCCAGCCGGCCTCTGCGGCCTCTGCTCCCCTGCCGGAGCAGAACAGCGCCCTGCTCAGTCGACCGGCCATGGCGTTCATCACCCAGAAGCACGAGCTGGACCGTCTGCGCGTAGCGATGCGCCGCAGTCTGCGGATCGCCGCGTGCCGCATCTATGCGCTGCAGGCGCTCAACTGGCTGCTGCGCAGCGTTACGCAGGGCGTGTGCCTGCACGACCTGATGTGGTGGTTCGTCAGCTCCCTAGCTGTGGGCAGCGTGGAGCTGGTCGACGGCAAGTACGAGGAGGCGGAGCAGGCGCTGGAGCACCCAGTCGCCTATACACAGATCAGCGGACGCTTTGCCCATTTGATTACACAGTCGCTGCACGTCCTGCTGCAGTCGGTGGCGGATCTGACGCTGCACCTGCCGCTCGGCTCCCCGCTGCAGCGCGTGGCCATTCAGTGCTTCGGCATACGCTTCCGGCAGGCGGACCATCAGTTCCTGCACAGCTCGCACGTCTTCGGCAACATATCCAAGATATTGTCCAAGTCCGACGAGCAGAACGACGCGATGGCCGTCTCGAACATGCTCGCGACTGCAGGCGAGCCGCACTGCGATGCCGAGCACAATATAGCCACGGCCAGCAATCAGCTGACAGCCGGCAGCGTGCCGGGCGCCCGGCTCATCTGCTACACGGATCTGTCGGGCATGTTCGAGGTGACGGTCTCCTCGCGCCCGGCCATGGCCGAGTCCCTCACGGACAACTCGACGGAAACGTTCTGGGAGAGCGACGAGGAGGACCGCAACAAGTGCAAGATCATAGAGCTGTCCATGAACAAGCTCAGCTACGCCTGCAAGTTCGTGCTCGTCCACATTGACAACAGCCGCGACATTCAGGTAGGTGCGGTTAGAGTAGAGGCACTGCTACGATTCGTGGTAGTAGCTCCTGCTCCTGACTGTTGATTGATCAAGTTAGTGCTAGATAGATTCGTTTCTCCAATGGGTTAGTATTCCCAGAATCGTGCCCATCGGTAGACAGACGTTGCTGCTGCACAGGCACCGTCCCTTATCCAAGCTCTCTATTTACCTTTTTGTTTTCCATTCACTGTTCGCTATTGAGCGGGCTCCATTGTTGACGCTCGCTCTTGGCTCTTTGTAGTAGACCAGAAAATTAGTACTTTCAAGCATTATTTGCCAGCCCCTTGAACAGGTGCTAATGAGGCGTGGGTATGACTGCAGCACGCAGCATGGCAACGGCTGTGGGAAAGCCTCTTGTTGACTCTTATGCTCGGAGAGAAGACTAATAGATAATTCACACCTCTCGTCCTCCACAGAACAAAGTGCTGAATGTGGTGTTCTATGCGGGCCAGTCGCTGGGCGATACGAATCTGATCAAATCCGTCGATGTGGACCCAAAGGCGTGCGTGTGGATTGCGGCGAAGATCAGCGACGAGAGCTGCACGCACTTTCGACTGGAGCTGCACGGGCCGGAGAACACGTTGCGTGTACGGCAAATCAAGCTGCTCGGTCTGCCCAGCTGCCAGCAGGGCGGCGCTGGCGGAGCTGTGGCGGCTGTGGGAGCAGCCGAGGAGCTGTCCCATGCGCTGCCGGCATTGCCCATGGTCGAGCAGCGGGCAGCAAACGTGCGTCTGTCGTACGCCTCGCGCATCCAGCAACAGATCTGCGAGAGCGAAACCCTGCGCGTGTTCCGCCTCATCACCGGCCAGGTGTTCGGCAAGCTGATCAGCAATGTGAGCGACACGGTCAATCCGAGCGGGGCTTCCTCGCAGGAGGCAGCCAACTCGATGCTCGCCGATTCTCTGGATCTGCGCGAGCACATGGTCGGCATTCTGTTCTCGCGCAGCAAGCTCTCGCACCTGCAGAAGCAGGTGATTGTGCACATTGTGCATGCCATACGCAAGGAGGCGCAGCGCGCCAAGGAGGACTGGGAGCTGGCCAATCTGGCGCATGTGCTCAAGCAGCAGCAGCAGCAGCAGCAGCAACAGTCGCCGCCAGCAGCAGCAGCAGCGGCCAGCTCTGCGGGGCCTGCCTCCTCCAGCGAGGGCAGCCCGGAGCGCAGCCGAGCGCCGGACACCTACTGCTTCGAGATGCTGAGCATGGTGCTCGCCCTGTCCGGCAGCGTTGTGGGTCGCTCCTATCTCTCGCAGCAGCACGGCCTGCTGCGCGATCTGCTGGGCCTGCTGCACACGGGCAGCGATCGCGTGCAGCGGCAGGTGACGGCGCTGCTGCGTCGCATTCTGCCAGAAATTACGCCGGAGAGCTTTGCGGAGCTGCTGGGCGTGCAGCGCCTGCCGCCGGCCGACTATAACATCGCCCACCAGAGCGCCAGCGACTTTGATATGAGTCGCTTGGGCCTGTTGGACATCTTCCTGGCCGTCATTGCCAAATCGCTGCAGCTGCAGGTCAAGGTGAAGACCAACACGGCGAACGCAACGACTGGCTGTGGCTCAGCCAGTGGCCCCAAGTCCGGGCAGCAGGAGAAGACGCCGGCATTTGTGCGACTCTGCAGCTCCTTGGATCTGTCCGTTCAGCTGTTGCGCACGCGCCCAAACACGGCCGAGCAGCAGCTGTCATCATCGGCCATGGCCACGGCCAACAGCGGCGACCCCTTTCGCTTTGATACAGCGCCCCCGAAGAAGGAGTCCAAGCGCAACCTGAACCAGCGCTGGTTCCTGAACGGCGTCATCTCCACCAAGCAGGCGGAGAGCATCATTGGACTCATACGTGATCTGGCCAGCGTAAGTTGCTTTAGCTCCACTCACTCTCTCACTCACTCTGTGATTGTTCTTCCCATAGGGTAAGCTGAGCGAGAAGTGGTCGCAGATCACCAAGGCGGCCATTGCCGAGTCAGTGCTCAATTTGACGCGGCTGGAGGAGATCTATCGCACACCGGAGCATTGCACAAAGACAGCCACGCTCTGGCTGGCCCTGGCCAGTCTCTGTGTGCTCGAGCGTGATCATGTGGAGAAACTATCGTCGGGACAGTGGTCCAAGCTCTGCGACACTCGGCCCATGTGCACCAATCACGATGACGGCGAGACGGCGGCCATTATCCAATGCGAGACATGCGGCTCTCTTTGCGGCGACTGTGATCGCTTTTTGCATCTCAATCGCAAGACGCGCACACACAAACGCACGGTACGTCAATCAAGCAGTCCCAGCGTTCAGATACGCCATCAATCAAGCATGGATGCCCTTAGTTAGAGCAATATCAATCAATCAATCTTCATTCAATCAACTGAACTTATCAGACGTCGTATGCTTGAAAGAAATAGTATTGAAATGCTGTTCATTCAAGTAATCAATCAACCAAGTAATCAATCAAATATGTGTTTCTCTTCATCGTCAATCAATCAATCAATCAATATAGCTTTGACGCTAAAGAAGCAAGCGAATCCTTCATATACTTCTGTAAATCATAAATCGAAATACAACAAGACTATGATTAATGACTAAATGAGTTCTTTACGAAAGGAGTACATTTGGAAATTCTCTATATACATTGTAGGTGTGCAAGGAGGAGGAGGAGGCGATTCGCGTGGAGCTGCACGAGTCCTGCGGACGGACCAAACTCTTCTGGCTGCTCGCCCTGGCCGACTCGAAGACGCTGAAGGCGATGGTGGAGTTCCGCGATGGCAGCCACACGATCATATCCGGTCCCCAGGAGGCGGTGGGGCGCTGTCGCTTTTGCGGGCTCACCAGCAACTCGGGACTGCTGGAGATTGGGAACGTGTGCGCGGACGCCCAGTGCCAGGAGTACGCGGCCAACTCCTGTCTCAAGACCAAGCCGTGCGGCCACGCCTGCGGCGGTGTGGCAGGTGAACGCAAATGCCTGCCCTGCTTGCAGCATGTGTGCCATGCGCGCGAAAACGAACTGGCGGAGGAGCTGCGCGATCCGAAGCTCACGCAGGATGCGGACGACATGTGCATGATCTGTTTCGTGGAGGCGCTCTCCTGCGCCCCCTCCATACACGTAAGCCCATGCAAATCATCACCATTTATATATATACATGTATGTGTGTGTGTGTGTGTCTCTCTTTGCAGCTGGAGTGCGGTCATGTGTTCCACTTTCACTGCTGCAAGGCCGTGCTGGAGAAACGCTGGAGTGGGCCGCGCATCACCTTCGGCTTCTCGCTGTGCCCCATCTGCAAGGCGGACATCCAGCACCCCCTGCTGGCGGATATACTGGAGCCAATCAACGGGCTCAAGCAGGACGTCAAGCGCAAGGCTCTCATGCGGTAGGTTCAAAGGCAACTATAGATCTTAGCTGTGATCCTCCTGATGCTGCCCCATATCGGACTTCCTATTGAAAACCCTTTTCCCTTTAGAGAGGCTTTATTACCTTATGCTTATATACCGTATACACATTCTAGTCACTCTGCTAATGGTCTCCCATTTGTTCTATTTTCGAATCAGCATCAAGTACGAGGGCGTCGTTAAGGATACGGACAACAAGGATGTAACGCAGCTGGCAATGGATCGATACGCGTATTACGTTTGCTTCAAATGCCAGAAGGCCTATTATGGCGGCGAGGCGCGTTGCGATGCGGAAATCGGGGAGAAGTTCGATCCCGAGGAGCTCGTCTGCGGCGGCTGCTCGGATGTGGCCAGGGCGCAGATGTGCCCCAAGCATGGCACTGACTTCCTGGAGTACAAGTGCCGCTACTGCTGCTCGGTGGCGGTGTTCTTTTGCTTCGGCACCACGCACTTCTGCGACACGTGCCACGACGACTTCCAGCGGCTGACGAACATACCCAAGATCAAGCTGCCCCAGTGCCCAGCCGGGCCCAAGGCCAAGCAGTTGCTGGGCGACGAGTGTCCGTTGCACGTGATGCATCCGCCCACCGGGGAGGAGTTCGCGCTTGGCTGTGGTGTCTGTCGCAATGCGCAAACATTTTAGCAACTGCGTGCCCAGAAGCTACGACTGCAACTGGTGCGACAGGATGTGTCGCCGGACGAGGCGAACGACGGGGAAGGAGATGGCAATATGGAGAGGGAGTAGGAAGCTGAGGAGGCGGCGGAGGCGGCGGATCAGCTCAAGAACTCTTAGAAACATTTGCATACATAGAGAAAGTGAGGATTAGAAAAAGAGAGAGAGATAGATAAAGAGAGAGAGAGAGAGTGGGAAAACGAGCTAGCAATTAGGGATAAACATACATACACATATATGTATGTATGTAAATTCCCATATATAAATATAAATATATTTTTTTTTATATCAAATTAATGAATTATAATTCAAAAGTTGCAATTTTTAGCTATATGTGTATTTAACTAAATTATTTATTTATTGTAATTGTAATTGAAATCTAAACGGCATTTGTTTTGCTTTAACTCAATTGGACACACACACATTCACACACACACACACAAGTACTCTTAAGTAGGCTCGAAATGAATTGTTTGTGGTAATTGGAATTGATTGAAAGGAAAACCGGGATGAAAAAGTAAACAAACAAAGCGCATACACTGAGAGAAATTCTTAGGCGTTTGCACCTGATTATTTTTTTTCGATTCATTAAAATTCACAAACTCTCGTATATGATTTATCAGAATGTAAACAAATTTAAGGCGAATGAGATGAACAAATTATTGTAATGACAAACAAGATCAAATTTATTATAAATGTGAGGAATGAATGGAACAAGACGATAAGCAAATGTAATTAAATACAAATAATGCAATTATATAACTCAATGGAACAAATTCTGGTCTTTTATTGAAAGTTGAATCGAATATCCCTGGGTACAATGTTGTCAACTTTATACAAAAACAAGTAAGAAAGCTCTAGTCGAAACTGCTCGACTACGAGATCCCCTGAACCCTACAAGCAACTGATATTTCAAACTGA